TGTGAAGCCGTTGTTTACAGTGAATTTATAACAGCTAAGGGGCGTTGTTAGGCACGACGCGAAGCGGAAAAACCACGGCTTCTTGGGGCTTATTGCTTTAATAAACACTACTGTCTACAGAAGCGATCAAAATAGAATAAATCAAATTTTTTAAAGGGAAGACGCTTCAAATAAAGATTATATCAATTACAACGTAACACCAGCAAGTGGAGACAAGTGACATTAAAAGAGATTCGTTCAAAAAACGTCGATTCATTCAGGAATGAAACAAGTAAAGTCTTTATGAGCGAGTCATTGAATCGTTTGTTTAACTAATTATTTTTTGTATAAATTCGTTGAATATTGTATTTTATAAATAGACTGCAGCAATTTTTACTAGAAACTCTAGTAAATTACATGTTATTTTGTTTAGTTGTCTTTTTTTCAGAATCATGGTGGGAGAATAGTGATATCTATTTTAAAAAATAAAATATTAATACAATATAGTTAATATAAATATGAAAAATAATACTTTTTCTAAAGAAATTTGTGAACTATATTTGCTCGAGAATGTTTTGAGTTTTAGCATTTTGAGTCTGTTCAATACAATGAATGCAATTTATTTTTTTGCATCAATATAGTAAAACAAACTTTTAATCCAATTTTTTGTTCCAGATTTTGAATCTTAAAAAAATATTTTTTTTCATGTTCAGTGTTATTTTAAATAGGACAAGGACAAGCAAGACTTAGATAAGTAATAAACTGCATTTCTAAATCAGTAAATCTGCAAATATTGTCTTTGATATTGATACAAATATTGAACCGGAAGTTGCTGCCAACTTTATTTCAGCGAAGTGCCGTATTTCCAGCTGAAACGGAATATTGAATAGAGGGCGTGGTTTAATTTTTGGGCTCCTCCTCTCTGTCTCTCACTCATAGCAACCTAACAGTTGGAGGGGTGTGTTTAGAAGGATATTCTGCCCAAGCCGTCAAACTGACATCATCAGAGAAGGAATGCAATTCCAGAGCGGAAGTAAATGTTCAGATTTTGATTAAAGATTACCAAGACAAACAATTTTTTTCAGCGGATTAACTTGCACGGTTTAATTGTTCACATCAAGACTAGCAATGTGCACTAGTAAAGTAAATAAAGTCAATTTTGATTTCATGCAGACTTTAAATAAACTCTGATGATGCAAATTGTAATTTGTGGCCTTTTGCATTTTATGTAGTTTAAATGCGGCCCGCTTGACCGCTGAACTTGAGTACCCCAGATTTAAATGATGCTTGGACATTTCTAATTGTACTGTTTTGTCAGTTTAGACTTAATTGTAAAAAATATATATTATTAAACTAATATCATGATGTCACAACCAGCACATCAGCACCACCCAACTGTCTTTGTTTTTAAAACAAAGTGACGCCCACGTGTGTTTTCTGTCTTACTGGGTTGGGTGTAGTCCTTCACAGGGCAGTGGTCACTCCGGTCTGAGTTGGCTGAGGAGCCATCGCAACGAATGCAGGTTTCCACTGAGCAGAGAAACGACCAGAGCAGAATAAGAACGACCTGGCTCAGTACGCCCCCTCTTTCTTAAACAGTTTTTTTCTTTCCAGCTTGGCTGATGGGTCTCGGACACAGATGATGCAGATCTGCTTGTGCACTACGCTTTTAATGTCATCATGTATCCAACAAAGCCTCTAGTCTTAATATTTGGGGGCTGAACGCGAGCACCTTCTCTGCAGTCAAGGAAGTCTGACCTTGATTCTGAATGATTCTGGATTATCAAGTCCTATAACAGGAGGCAATTCTGGGACGTGCACAAATTGTGCCAAACTTGACAATGGAAGGTGGCGTTTCGCATGCAAAATCCAAAATCCAGAGCAGCGTGGCCTGGATTTGCCTGTAAAAACAAGCAGGTGTTCTCTTTCCCTCGTCTCACAAATCTAATATGAAGTTGATCCCGTCAGCTTCGAGTCAGGCAGTGTCTTAGCGCTCTCCAGAAGGATTTGGGATTTCCTCCAGCACTGGTAAACAGCTCAACCGATCCCACGTCCAAAATGGAGAGCTTCCAGGAACGGCTACATAAAACTGAGGCGGCTACAAAAGGGAATCTTAATGGAACAGCTCTTGATGGAAGATAGTAAACCTAGTTTTAGAAAACTAATGAATAGAGCTGGTTTGAAGGTCTTTCTTCCATGTTTCCTATTTTGAAGCTCAGATTTCCACAGCAAGCCTCAGAAACAGAGAGCCAAGCACCTGTGAAAACAAACAATCTCAGTGAACAGTGTAATTTAATGGTTTTTCCAAATACTACACGTGCAGACGCACCAAACACATGCATCTACTGAAGCTTAAATCAAGACAATGGAATTACAATCAATTAAAATCAATTAAAAACACACATTATTGCCAATGCAAAAGCATGGCAGGGAGTTTTGTCAACTATAGACAACATAATTTTTTTTAGTTAATGTCATTTTTTTAATCGTCATACAAGTCTGAATCTGTGGATTTTGGAAGCAGATAGTATAATACAAAATATAATTTAAATTATATTTATTTTTATTTTATAATTTAATTTATTTATTATATTTTATTTGTTACAATTTAAACAATATACTATGCCAGAAAAACATACTAAATTGTTATTACTGATCCACTTAAATTTTGGCAACCGAAAACATATTTAACCAAAACTAGCAAAAAAAATTTAAAAGAGATGGGTGCCCTTAGTAAAACTACTCAAGTTCAGTTTAGGGATTGTGCCAAAATAGGACAAGCAGTGAAAAAAAAAAAAAAAAAAACATTTTGGTGCATCAATAATTGTCCATTTTTTATATCATACATTAGAATGTTAGCATGAAAAATTATTTATTGGAGGTTCATTGTTAATAATGATAGACTGCTATATCAGCCAGGTTGATGAATTGACTGCTATTTGATATTTGGCTGATAATTAAGTCTGTTTAGCAGATTATCAGAAGCAAGTTCCAAAGGGCCTCATCAATGGATAATAAATATATATAGAGAGAGAGAGAGAGAGAGAGAGAGAGAGAG